TAAATTGAAATCAAATTAATTCATAAAAGGAAACAAAATTGGCTGTGCTGGGGGTGTCCAGGTGCCTCAGCTGCTCCTTGGGCTCTAGACCCTTCCCCAGCAGCTCCATTGCCCTTCTCTGGCCACACTCCAGCCCCTCAAGGTCCTTCTGGGAGGGAGGGGTCACTGAGTGGAGGGTATGTGTGGATGGTGAGGGTCTCCAGTCCTGCAGTGACAGGCTGGCTTGAGAAAATGTAGCTAAAGGTGCTTTTGATGTTAGGAACTGCAGAGCACTGGTCTCAAGGTTTCCATCACGCCGTGACTGTTGACATTAGGGCTCAGGCTCTGCTCCACCTGCAGGGCAGGTTTACATGGTCAACAGGCTTCTGCCATGGGGCACCACTCACAGGGCACTCCAGGACGTCCTTGATGAAGGACTCCTTCCAGGAGAATCTCCTTCCAGGACAACACACAAGGAAAGCTGTAATTTGGAAGATGAGCTTCACTGGGTATCACGACTCTGCCTATGGGCTTGTGGCCAGTTCTCTGGGTTGCCAGTCCCCAGTGAAAGGTGGTACCACTGCATGGCAGCTGCTAGAAATGCCCTGAGCTGTAAGGGAACGTGGGTTATTGGAAATGAGGGAAAGCTGCATATCCCAGAATCCCAGGATCCCAGCAGGGTGGGGTTGGAAGGGACCTCTGGAGATCATCTCATCCCACCCCCTGCTCCAGCAGCTCACCCCCAGCAGGGTGCCCAGGATGGTGCCCAGGGGGGTTTGGGATCTCTCCAGAGCAGGAGACTCCACAGCCTCTCTGGGCAGCTGCTCCAGGCTCGGCCACCCTCACCCCAAAGAAGTTTCTCCTCCTGCTCAGGTGGCACCTCCTGGGTTCCAGTTGGTGCCCGTTGCCCCTTGTCCTGTCCCTGGGCACCACTGACCAGAGTCTGGCCCCAGCCTCTTGCCCCCCGGGGGCCCTTTAGCTCTTGCTCAGCACTGCTCAGATCCCCTCTGAGGCTTCTCTTCTCCAGCTCAGCAGCCCCAGGGCTCTCAGCCTGGCCTGGCACAGAGATGCTCCAGCCCCTCAGCATCTCCACAGCCTCTGTCAGGGTGGTGGGATGGGTTTGCCTGTCCTGGCAAAGCTTCCAGCAATTAATGGCATCACTGCTCTTCTGTATAAATGTGTTTTAGGAGTTGAAAAATTTGTGTTGAAATTAAAAAAATGTAAAAAAAAGTTAAAAAAAAAGTTAAAAAGAGTTAAAATAGTTAAAAAAGTGGGAGCAGCCTTGGTGAGCGAGGCTGCAGCTGGTCACCCCCAGGGGTTCTGGCACACGGCTCGGGTGAAACGCTGCAGGCACTGAGCAGGGGTTGGGTCTGGGGGCTCTGAGGGGGTTTGGGGGCACTGAGCAGGGTCTGGGGGTGCTGAGCAGGGTTAGGGGGCACAGCACCCAGGTCCTGCGTGTGCCTCAGCAGCGCTGGGGAGCCGTGGGCTGGGCACAGGAGCTGTGGTGCCCGTGCTGATACAAAGCCAGCCCCGCAGGTCACCCGTGGGGACACCCCAGATAAGATCTCTGTGCAGACCTGCCAGGGCTGCTGGGCTCCAGGGGCAGCTGCTGCTCCACAGAACTCACCCAACCACCTGTGGGAAGGGCTGTTGCTAAATAACACCTTGTGTGCTGGGATACAGCGTGTGTGGGAGCTCTGAGCAGGACCTGGGAGTGCTGGGGGACAAGCTCACCCTGAGCCAGCCACGTGCCCTCATGGCCAAGGAGGCCAATGGTCTCCTGGGGTGCATGGAGAAGAGTGTGGGCAGCAGGTAAAGGTTCTCCTCCGCCTCTGATCTGCCCTAGGGAGGCCACCTCTGCAGTACTGAGTCCAGTGCTGGGCCCCCCAGTTCCCGAGAGCCAAGGAGCTACTGGGGAGAGTCCAGCAGAGGCTGTGGAGATGCTGAGGGGCTGGAGCATCTCTGTGCCAGGCCAGGCTGAGAGCCCTGGGGCTGCTGAGCTGGAGAAGAGAAGCCTCAGAGGGGATCTGATCAGTGCTGAGCAAGAGCTAAAGGGCCCCGGGGGGCAAGAGGCTGGGGCCAGACTCTGGTCAGTGGTGCGCAGAGACAGGACAAGGGGCAACGGGCACCAACTGGAACCCAGGCGGTGCCACCTGAGCAGGAGGAGAACCTTCTTTGGGGTGAGGGTGGCCGAGCCTGGAGCAGCTGCCCAGAGAGGCTGTGGAGTCTCCTGCTCTGGAGAGATCCCAAACCCCCCTGGGCACCATCCTGGGCACCCTGCTGTGGGTGAGCTGCTGGAGCAGGGGGCTGGATGAGATGATCTCCAGAGGTCCCTTCCAACCCCACCCTGCTGGGATTCTGGGTCTCTGGGAGCATTCTCCATGCCCTGTGGCTCTGTGCACACTCCCTGGCAGGGGGCAGTGGGAGGTGGGTGGTCTGGGGCTCCACTCTCCAGGGCAGATCCACTCGGGGAGAGGTCTCAGGTGGGTGCTGGGGGCTGCACTGGCACCTCCAGCTCTCTCCAGGCTCCTCGAAATCACAGAATCATAGAATATTTTGGGCTGGAAGGACCTTTGAAGGTCACCTAGTCCAGCCCATGGTGGAAATGGTGTTGATATGTCCCAGGGATGAGGAATCAGAGAAATGGAGACCGGTTACTCTGCTGAACTTTTATTCTGACTGACAGGATAGACATGGATCTGGTGCACAGACAAGTTACTTTTAAAGGCAAACAAAGATCCCAAAATTGTTTTCCTGTACACTACAGTCCCCATCACATCTCAGACAGAAGCACAACATATCAGAACCCATATTAGATGTACAACTGTAGTGGAATTTAAACGCATCACCCAAAAGGCACCTTTAAGGCAACAAAGCCCCCACCTTCCTGCCCAGGCAGGTCTAGGGCAGAGAAGATCTCCCTGTCCCCTGGAGCTCTTGGATTGCACTTGGCTGGCAAACAGTGCTCCAGGTGCTCTGCTGTGGACAGGTGAGCAGCCAAAGTCCTTCCCATTTGCTGGGATTTCAAGGAGCTTCTTGGCGTTACGGTGCCCGGAGCTGGAGAGAGCTGCCCCAAAACAAGGCGTGGCACAATGGAATGGCTTTGAGTGGGCTTGAGAGACCTCCCTCAACACTCAGGAGCCCCCAGGTCCTGCCCAGTCCCTCCTGAGCTGGGCTCTCTGAGCTCTGTGCCCTGGCAGCTGCTGCTCCCAACGTCTGGCTGGAGAATGAGCCAGTGGAACTGCTCAGGTCACCCCGACACGTCTGACTAGTGTGTTGGTTTCTTTGGAAGAGCTCAGGCAGAGAGAGTGAACAATAGGAACCCTCCTGGCAGGAGAACGGGGCTCTTCACAGGCCCAAAACACTGATTTTAAACCCCTGTGAATCCTGCTGTGCTCTGCTGCAGGGGAGTCACGTTTTCCCTTCCCCGTGCCACCCGATGCCCAGCCCAGGGAAGATGGTTGGGGCTGGGGGGAGAAGGGCAGAGCCCAAACAGACCTCGTGAGCTCAGGCTGCACTCGGGTGCCACCCAGACAAAGCTGCATTTATTCAGGCAGTGGCTTCTGCTGTCAGATTCATTCCTTTTGGTGACTGCTGTGAAGATGAGGAATTAGACAAGGTGGTGGCAGAACAAGAAAAGTCAGTAGCTGGCTGCTCTTTGAGTGGGGAACTTCTCTAAGAAAGGAAGAGGTTTAAAGGAAAGGCTCTGTGCACCCCAGCAGCTGCAGGGTGACATTGGCCTTCGTGGCCCCTAAACTTGATGTTTTATGGCACACAGCACGCACACAGCCACACAATATGCTGTATTTTATTGTCTTTCCACCTTATTTCACCCAAGAGGCTGTGAAACTGATGTCCGAGGCTACAAAAGGGGGAAGAAAACAAGGAAAAAATGTGGCCCTTTTAAAACTAAAGTTCAGCTGTGACCCAAATGGGTTAGAATTGAGTTTTTTAATAATCCTGAAGGTTCCTCGGGGGAACACTCTGACTAGTGCCCACCCTTCCACCCACCTCTGCCAGCTAGTTCTATGTTAAACATTCACAGAGCTGCCTGATCTCTCAGATTGTTTTTTTTTCTTTTTTTGAGGAAAGAAGAAATTAACTCTTTTAGGGTACTGTTTTGGCCACTTTGCAGGACACTTTAGTCATGAAGAAGTTTTGAGTGGCATCCTCAGTCCTTTAAGATCATTCGTTGTTCATTTGGTTCCTGGGCCTTTCCAAGGGATATGAAAATGGTATTTTTGGCTCTGCAAATCTTTTTCCTTAATCTACAGGAAGAACATTTACTGTCTCTCGCAACCTCTTTATCACTCTCTCCATCTGCTCAGAGCAGTTTCATCACCATAATCACACAACTCTTTCCATTTAAAACAATAATCACAGGTTTCTCACTTGTGCTGCTTGCCCCAGTGCCTGGTCCTCCTCAGCAGATGAGAACTGAGCAGGGGCAGACCCACGTCTGGTGAGAGCCCCCCTGCCATCCTCAGTTGTGCCTTCATGGGTTCTGTACAGCCTGTACAGCTTTAAGCCACTGAAAGACAAATAAATTAAACAAAAAAGCCTCATCATTTTGTCTTCCTTTAATTCTTGTATTTTTTGTGCCTTTATCCCCCTTCTCCCTCCAGAAAAAAAGGAGGAAGAAGGACTCTCTGAAGTAATCTTAGTATTAAAATATATTTATGTAGGAGTGGGACTCTTCAGTAACACAATCTGTTGAATCTGTTCCAAAAGTTCCCTGATTAGGAAAACCATTTTGATTACTTTAACCCCAGAAGACTCCCTGTGAATCCTGTGTGAGCCACGCACAGTCACACTCTGCAGCAACAACAGAACGCAGAGACCAAACCAATTCCTTCTTCTGTATCTGAGACCTTCTGGCACACGGGCTAGATGATTATTTGGCACCCTGAGTCCACCCAGTAGTACCAGTTTCGGGTGCTTCTGCAGATGCTGACGTGCCACAGACACCCCCAATTCACAGTAAGGTTTCCAACCACTCCTTGGCCCAAGCAGCTGCCGCCTCACGCCGCCGTCCGTCGGATCTCCTCCGAGAGGGTGATGGACCTCTCCTTCCACTCGTTGTTGGAGCACTTGGAGACGGCGTTGGCTGCCTGGCAGAACTTCTGGAGGAGGATCTTCCTGAGCAGCAGGTAGACCCAGGGGTCCAGGATCTGGTTGAGGGAGGCCAGGCGCACGGCCGTCAGGAAGGAGCTGCACTCCCCGGGCGGCACCGAGCCCGGGGTGCTGCTGGGGAACCCCCGGCAGGCCTCCAACGCCCTGGGGCTGAAGATCATCCTCAGCATCATCACCTGGGGCCAGGCAGGAGGAAAAACGGAGAAATGTTGAGTTATCTAGAGATCACGACATGCAGGTATCTCTACAGGCAAAATCCTGGAGTTTTTCTCCTCCCTCCTCCAGTTCAGGCTGTGATTGGAGCAAACAGACCCCTCTGCTCTGCACCAGGGAGGCCACCTGGGGAGGACTGGGGCCAGGGCTGGGCTCCCCCAACTCAAGAGAGACTGGAGGGAGTCCAGTGG